CGGACTCGATGATCTGTTGAGGTCCCTTCCGACCCTAACATCTATGAATCTATGAATTTGGGGGATGGTGTAGACAGGAAAATACCATATCTTATTTTAGGCACATGGTAAAGGTTTTGTTACCTGTGGATCTGCTTTTACTGAAACAAGGGGTGGGTCTTAAATTGGAGGGGTATAGACAGGAAAATGTGGTACCTAATTTTAAGGGGGGGTGATAACTGGGACATTACTGTACCCAACCCTACCCCACATCTGTCTGCATATGTCTTCCCCAAAACAGGTTGTCATAGACAGGAAAATATGGTACCTGATTTTACTGGGGAGAGAGACCAGAAATGATGGTATGCACATCCCTAACCTGCCTCAGGATCCTGAGATGGTCGGGGGGATGTGGTAGATGAGACATTACGGTACCTGAGCTCTCCTGCCCAAAACAAGGGGTGGGTCTAAATTTAGGGGAAGGTGACAGAAGACTACAGGACCTTATTTTAGGGGTGTGGTAGATGGAAAAATATGGTATCTGTATAGCTTACTAACCTCTAGTCCCTAAAACAGTAGTAGGGGGTAAATAGGAAAATATGGTACCTGCCTTTCTTATCGACCGCAGGGCCCAAAGGTGGTGGTGGTGTAGTGGGGGGGGGCAATAGATGGGAAAAGACAGTACATGCATCTCTTGATGCCCCAAAGTGGTTGGGGGGTTGGTAGATGGGAAAATACCGTACCCAAGTCTCTCAATGGCCACCACTGGGAGTTCCTCTCTCGTTCTAGGGCCAGCCAGGAGTGACCCCAGGACAAAGGACTGCACCATTCCCACCATGCCCTGTCCTAGACCCTTCATCCTCCTCCTCCTCCTGGTGCCCATGACAGCCCCTCACTGCCACCAGGCCACAGAAGACGAGTGTGAGGAGCACACGGCCTTCGTGCCCGGCCACGGTCTGGTGGGGGAAGGCTTTGACATCACCACGCTGGCCCGGAAGGGTGCTTACGTGGTGGACGTTGGGCGGTGGGAGAGGCCGGACGGGACCTGCACCCTGTGCTCCAACACACTTCAAGACGGGGATCTCCAGCGCCTCCCCCTGGCCATGGCCGACTGGCGGATCCAGGTCTCATGCAAGAGTCTGGTGGCCAGCTCCCTGCACCGGTCGGCTGTGGAGGTGGCCAACGAAGCCTGCACAGCTGTGGAGAATGACTGGAGGGTGGGGCTCGAGGTGGACGTCCCTTCCAAGGGCAGTGCACACGTGGCGGTGGCTGGGTCCCGCTCCAAGATGGCCGAATTCAGCGCAGCCAAGGCCCAGGAGGACAAGTACTCCTTCGCCAGCCACGAGGTCTCCTGCCAGTACTACCGGTGAGGCGATCCAGGGCAGAGAGGTCAGGGATCAAGGCTGGATTGGATGGGGGTGATCTGTGGGTTGGCGCTGAGCTGAGCTGAGTTGAGATCAAGGGTAGGTTCAGGTTGGGTTGAGGTCAAGGGTAGGTTGTGGTTGGGTTGGGTTGGGTTGGGTTGAGGCCAGGGTTAGGTTGAGCTTGTGTTGGATTTAGGTCAAGGGGCAGTTGATTTCATAGATGTTTAGGGCCAGAAGGTATCTTAGTAGATCATCAAGTCTGACCCCCTGCCCTGGGCAGGCAAGAGTG